TAGAAAGGCGTAAGGAGAGGAGGAGTTTGATGGACTGAACACATCGACTCCAGGCTGAGGGACTGATTACCTCAAACTCCTCCTCTCCTTACGCCTTTCTACTTTGTATTGGACTGATGAAGCCACTGTGTGGCGAAACGTTTCCTGAATAAAGATTCCCATATGTTGCATAAGTGTCTCAATCTTCAACTTGTCGGTTTTTCAAACCATTCATCACACACATTAGAGCTACCCATGGAGCCAGTCTCTCAATCCATCTATCTCTCTTTAATGCCTCTCATATCTCTCTTTCCTTTGATAGGCTTAGCGATTTTTCCTGTCCACTACCTAGCGGAGTTGAAAACAGCATAAAATACCGACAAGTTGATAAGACACACGTACAATAGTTGGGTATCTTTATTGCTGCAATGTTCGCCTGCGCGGTAAGCTTCTTCAGTCATATACAGAGTATAATGTATTGTAGACAACTGGAGTAGTGGCTAGATAAAGATAATGTAATGAGTCTCACAGCCTTGGAGAAAGAGTTTGAGTTGGTCAGTCCCTCATCCTGGAAACGAGTCTGGAACGCGACTGCTATACACATAATATAAACTCAGTATGTCTGCCTTGATGATGGCGAAGGGTTTTTGATCGAAGGAAATGGAGCAATGCTTCCTTTTTCTCTGATCGAACCTTCCCATCTTCTATTATCCAGGGGCTGCATGAACCTTCCTATATTCATATAAATGAGCACTTATAAGACACAGTGTGGCACAGCTGACAGTCATGGCTCTGTGCCCCGCTTGTGCCTTGGAAATTTCATTCTGATTCTAGAAGGAAAAAATAATGTTACAAAGAACTGGGACCGACTCCAGGCTTCTCTTGTCAGTCGTCACTTGGAAGTAACCGAGACTAATTTAGCCCAGGTGAAGCTGACTCAGGAATTCTCTGAAAATATACACTGATACTTGCTAGTTGTTGTTGTCCGTATTAAGTAGTGCAACTTACTAGCTTGTTATTATGAAGAAGACGATTACATGATTCATGGTATTACTGGTATTACTTGATTCATGGTATTACTTGATTCATGGTATTACTTGATTCATGGTATTACTTGATTCATGGTATTACTGGTATTACTTGATTCATGGTATTACTGGTATTACTTGATTCATGGTATTACTTGATTCATGGTATTACTGGTATACTTATTCATGGTATTACTTGATTCATGGTATTACTGGTTCTATGGTATTACTTGATTCATGGTATTACTTGATTCATGGTATTACTGGTATTACTTTATTCATGGTATTACTTGATTCATGGTATTACTGGTATTACTTGATTCATGGTATTACTTGATTCATGGTAATTACTGGTATTACTTGATTCATGGTATTACTTGATTCATGTATACGGTATTACTTGATTCATGGTATTACTTGATTCATGGTATTACTTGATTCATGGTATTACTGGTATTACTTGATTCATGGTATTACTTGATTCATGGTATTACTGGTATTACTTTATTCATGGTATTACTTGATTCATGGTATTACTGGTATTACTTGATTCATGGTATTACTGGTATTACTTTATTCATGGTATTACTTGATTCATGGTATTACTGGTATTACTTGATTCATGGTATTACTTGATTCATGGTTATTATACTGGTATTACTTTATTCATGGTATCTGATTCATTGATTACATGGTATTACATTCTGGTATTACTTGATTCATGGTATTACTGGTATTACTTGATTCATGGTATTACTTGATTCATGGTATTACTGGTATTACTTGATTCATGGTATTACTTGATTCATGGTATTACTGGTATTACTTGATTCATGGTATTACTGGTATTACTTGATTCATGGTATTACTGCGTATTACTTGATTCATGGTATTACTGGTATTACTTTATTCATGGTATTACGATTATTGATATGGTATTACTGGTATATCTTGTGTCATGTATTACTTGATTCATGGTATTACTGGTATTACTTGATTCATGGTATATGTATAATGATTCATGGTATTGCTGGTATATTTAAATTCATGGTATTACTTTGTATTCATTATTTACTGGTATTACTTGATTCATTGTATACTTTTATTATTGAAATTTATGGTATTGACTGGTATTACTTGACTCATGGTATACTGTATAATTTGACTGTATGGTATTACTGATTATTTATTCATTGATTACTGGTATTACTTAATCATGGTTTATTTCATGGTATATTGATATGATTGGTATTATTGACTCATGGTATTACTGGTATTACTGATTCATGGTATTACTGGTATAATTTAATTCATGGTATTACTGGTATTACTTCATTATGGTTTACTGGTATATTTGATTCATGGTATTGTGTATACTTGATTCATGAATTACTGGTATACTTGATTCATGGTATTACTGGTATACTTGATTCATGGTATACTGGGTATAACTTGATTCATGGTATTACTGGGTACTACTTGATTCATGGTATTACTTGGTACTACTTGATTCATGGTATTACGGTACTATTGATTTATGATTACTGGTATTACTTGTTCATGGATTATTACTACTTGATTCATGGTATTAGGGATTACTTGATTCATGGTATTACTGGTACTATTGATTCATGGTATTACTGGTATTATTTCATTCATTGTATTACTGGTATTACTTAATTCATGGTTTTACTGGTATAATTTGAATCATGGTATTGCTGATATTACTTGATTCATGGTATTACTGGGTACTACTTGATTCATGGTATTACTGGGTACTACTTGATTCATGGTATTATGGGTATACTTGATTTCATGGTATTACTGGGTACTACTTTTTATTCATGGTTAATTACTGGGTACTACTTGATTCATGGTATTACTGGGTACTACTTGATTCATGGTATTACTGGGTACTACTTGATTCATGGTATTACTGGGTACTACTTGATTCATGGTATTACTGGTATTACTTGATTAATGGTATTACTTCTATAAGTTAATTCATGGTATTACTGGTATCACACTATTCATGGTATTGCTGGTATTACTTGAATCGTGGTATTGCTCTGTATTACTTGATTCATGGTATTACTGGGTATTACTTGATTCATTGTATTACTGGTTTTACTTGATTCATGGTATTACTGGAATAATTTGATTCATGGTACTGCTGGTATTACTTGATTCATGGCATTACTGCTATTACTTAATTCATGGTATTACTGGTATTATTTGACTCATGGTATTGCTGGGTAATACTTGACTCATGGTATTACTTGATTCATGGTATTACTGGTATTACTTGACTCATATATTATTACTGGTATTGCTCGATTTATGGTATTACTGTGTATTACTTGATTCATTTTACTGCTGGCATTACTTGACTCATGGCATCACTGGGTATTACTTGACTCATGGCATCACTGGGTATTATTTGACTCATGGTATCACTGGGTATTACGTGACTCATGGTATCACTGGGTATTATTTGACTCATGGTATCACTGGGTATTACTTGACTCATGGTATCACTGGGTATTAAGTTATGGTATCACTGGGTATTACTTGACTCATGGTATCACTGGGTATTACTTGACTCATAGTGTCACTGGGTATTACTTGACTCGTGGTATTATTGGTATTACTTGACTCATAGTGTCATTGGGTATTACTTGACTCATGGTATTATTGGTATTACTTGACTCATGGTATCACTGGGTATTACTTGACTCATGGTATCACTGGGTATTAATTGACTCATGGTGTCACTGGGTATTACTTGACTCGTGGTATTATTGGTATTACTTGACTCATAGTGTCATTGGGTATTACTTGACTCATGGTATTACTTGACTCATGGTATCACTGGGTATTACTTGACTCATGGTATCACTGGGTATTACTTGACTCATAGTGTCACTGGGTATTACTTGACTCGTGGTATTATTGGCATTACTTAACTCATGGTATTGCTGGTATTACATATAAGGAAATTGGTATACTTCTTTTTAATCATATTAGACTGGGTATCGATTTGAGGTACCGTGTGTTGACCTATATGTGGTTGAACGGGTCAAGTCACAGCTCCTGGCCCCGTGTGTACCACGCGACAGGCACTAAGTATCTTGGATGGAACTGACTCCAGGTGCTGTCTGGCACATCTTAAATTACTTGGACCTGACTTCTATCAATGTGTTTGTCATTATTACTACTATCATTATCACCATGATCATTATAATTATCATTATCATAATCATTATTATAATTATCATCATAATCATTACCATCATTATTACAATAATCATTATTATTATCATAATAATCATTATCATTATGATTATCATAATAATCATTATCATTATGATTATCATAATTATCATAATCATCAAAATTATCATTATCATTATTATCATGATCATCGGCATGGTTATGATGATGATCATCACTGTCATCATAATCATCATCACAACTCATCGTGCTCCTCAAGATACTCTGGTGAGGCTATAAAAACAAGGCAACAAATTTCAACAATAAATATGATATTAACAAAAAGTTCGCTCATATAAGACGCAAGTGGGATCACTTGCGTAAAAACTTGTCAAAGTTGACTTTGATGTAAACACCTAAATTTACTTTGATGTATAAAAAAATAACAAAAATCGCAGTGTAAAACACAGAGGTTCTCTTTGATCATTTTCTGATGCTTGTGTGTGTGTGTGTGTGTGTGGTGGTGTGTGTGTGTGTGTGTGTGTGTGTTGTGTGTGTGTGTGTGTGTGTGTGTATGTGTGTGTATGTGTGTGTGTATGTGTGTGTGTATGTGTGTGTGTGTGTGTGTGTGTGTGTGTGTGTGTTGTGTGTGTGTGTGTGTGTGTGTGTGTGTGTGTGTGTGTGTGTGTATGTGTGTGTGTGTGTGTGTGTGTGTGTGTGTGTGTGTGTGTGTGTGTGTGTGGTGTGTGTGTGTGTGGTGTGTATGTGTGTGTATGTGTGTGTGTATGTGTGTGTGTATGTGTGTGTGTGTGTGTGTGTGTGTGTGTGTATGTGTGTGTATGTGTGTGTATGTGTGTGTATGTGTGTGTGTATGTGTGTGTGTGTGTGTGTGTGTGTATGTGTGTATGTGTGTGTATGTGTTTGTGTATGTGTTTGTGTATGTGTGTGTGTGTGTTGTGAGGACTGCAAGGAAGATTGTCGCTTCTAAAGTTAAGTGATGGAACACACCTCCTCCTCCTCCTCTTCCTCGTCTAAGATAGACATGTCACACGTGTCCACCACAGTCTTGTCACATGTGTACAACACAGTCACGTCATACGTGTACAACACAGTCACGTCACAAGTGTAAAACGAAGTCATGTTACACGTGTACAGTCATGACGTCATGTCACACATGTAAAACACAGTCATGTCACGCGTGTAAAGTCATGTCACACGTGTACAACAGGCATGTTATACGTGTACAACACAGTCATGTCACAGGTGTTCACATAGTTATACCCATACAACTCTGTGCAGCATACACTGCTCGTTAGGGCATGGCAGTGGACCACCGCTTGAAAGCAGAGTGCGCAGTATTAGGCTGGTACAAAGGAGTGCACAGTATTAGGCTGGTACAGAGGATTGCACAGTAGTGGGCTGGTACAGAGGAGAGGATGCACAGCAGTAGGCTGGTACAGACGAGTGCACAGTAGTGGGCTGGTACAGAGGGGATAGTGCACAGTAGTAGGCTGGTACAGAGGGGAGTGCACAGTAGTAGGCTGGTACAGAGGGGAGAATGCACAGTAATAGGTTGGTACAGAGGAAAGGGTGCACAGTAGTGGGCTGGTATAGAGGAGAGGGTACACAGTAGTGGGTTGGTACAGAGGAGAGGGCACACAGTAGTGGGCTGGTACAGAGGAGAGGGTACACAGTAGTGGGCTGGTGTGGGGGACGATACACAGGAGTGGGCTAGCAGAGGTGGGATGGCTTATAGTAATGCTCTAGCACCATGGAGATGGCTCGAAGTAGTAGTAGTACTGGTAGCAGTCCGGCACGGAGGGGAGGTGTGCAGGTGTGCAGCAGTAGTGTGCTCACATAGGTGGGTCCGTGCACGATTGTGCGTGTTGAGGAAGCGTTTGTTGTCTCAGTGGTACACTAACGCGTAACATTAATCATTATGTATGTTTATAAAACCTTTACTGTAAGTAAGTAACCAGTAAATATGGTACATTGTATCATGATATGTACTGTATCAGCCATCACTCGGTAGCGTATTCCTTGCGTAACAAGTCATATTATATAGCGCGAGTTGAGGGATGACAAGGACGGTGGCATTAGACAAGGACATGGTCGTCTTGGGCGGTGGCAACGGGCATGACAGCAACGGACGTAGACGCTGACGGAGGGTCGAGAGTTTCCCGTGGAGACCGTGTTTCCGTCAGGCTGCTGGTGCCAGGCTGGAGCTTCTGAGTGTCTGTCTGGTTTGAGGAATCTATGCAGGGTGGCCGTCGCCGGCCGCGAGTCCTGCCACGGGGCTGGCCAACTGCTTCAGTGGTGACTCCGCCCAAGCCACCCGCTGTAGGTGGCGCCGATGAAGCCCCAGGCAGCTGAGCCATGCCCCCCTGAAACATGTCCGTTCGATTCTCCCACACTCCGCCTCCTCCTAATTCTGCCATGCCAGGAGACACTGTGTGACCTTCCCGCGGTGGAGGCAATATTCCTAGTGGTAAACACACTCGGTACGGTACATAACCCTCCGCCCCATGCGCCGTGCGGACATATAACCAATCCCGCGTTTTGAACACTGCATTAACAATTATTCCTAAAGGCAAGAATGGTCGTACAGGCTGTTGGTTGTGTGGGCGTGGCTCGGGTGTGCGGCGCATGTTATGTAGGCGCGTGGACGACGCCAGAACCATAGGGAGGTTTGCGGGGCGAGCAGGAGAAGCCTCGGTAAGTAGAGCTTCCAGGTCACTCACCTGGTACCCATACGCTACCCCTTCTCCGGGTTCTCGCCCAGATTCCAGATTCTCATAACAGCCAGCCAGGCGGGCCAGGACCCCACCCACCACGCCCACGCTGCCGCCGAGCTGCAACACTCCTGGGGGCGAGGAATATGGCAGCTGACTGCTATGTCCACAACCACTTGGGGGAAGAGAGGTGAGAGGGGGCGCACTGGTGTTGCCCGGTGGGCGGTCCCCCGGGGGTGGGCGTGGGCGGTGTTGGCGGGATCTTGAGGCTGAAGAACAACGAACTCTACGATCACCGCCGTTGCCTGCAGGTCCCCGAGGCTCACTAGAAACACTCCTTACACGTATCCCTTCTCCCTCCGCAGGGACACCACCCATGCTGCATCCACCACCCATTCCCGAAGACACTGTTGCTGATCCCAACTGATCCAAAGGAGGCTGAGGAGGCCATGGTAGTTGAGGGTTGTGCCTCCAGCCGCTGGCAGCCCCTCCTCCTCCCGTGGCAGCCCCCCCGGGCATAATGAGCTGAGTCGGAGCAGCACCTAAGCCATGTGGGCCAGCACCGAGCCCTTGAGGTGTTAAGGGCGGTGGAGGGGGCCTGGCGTCCCGACGGCGTGCTCGGGAATCATCCATGTCAGGGTAGTGATGGTCACGAGTACCCAACATGGCTGAAGTGTGTGAGGTATCAGCCAGCGTGAGGTTAGCGACTACGTCCGGCAGCGTCCCCGCCCACTCACACTTGTCGCCGCCTCCGCCTCCGCCACCGCCTCCTCCGCCTCCGCCGCCGCCGCCGCCACCACTCCCACTGCTGCTGCTCACCTGCCGGGGAACATAGCATCAATAACTTAAACATAATGATAAAACCTTCATCATCATTATTATAGCCATAGTTAAATCCTAAACCCATAGGGGCAATAGAGTGTCTGGGGATGGAAAACATTCTGATTAGATCCAAGGAAAAAGAGGACAGGCCAAATTCCTTGGATGAAAAACCTCTCACTGGCATGAAGGCAGGAGATGCCAAAGAGAATTACGAAGCTAATTTAACCTACCAAAGTGTAAAATATTCTTAGGTTATTAGAATTTATTTGTATTTGTACTTAAGGAAAATGTAACGCAACTCAACGTAACGAAAACCACAAAATATTAATGCCCATATTGTGGTCACTAGAACTAGACTATTGAAATAAATACCGAAATAATCAAACACATATAGAAAAAATATTGAGTATATGTTATTACTATTATTATATTTACAAATGTTAATATATATGGCATAATTAAGAGTCGCGCAGCAATGTTAACGTCGTTTGTATTATAAAATAATGTATATACTTTGTATATTTTCATAAAATTTTACGTTATCTTTTTCAAATCTGTCAAATATTAATTATAAACCGAGAATTAAGTAATTCTATTTAATATACTAAAACAAGAGTTAACAGTTTATTATATGTCTACGTAAAGAAATAACAAGAGCCTATAATTTTAATTATTCCATTCATACACATTTATGTTCAGGTGACAGACAATCATCCATCAACACACGACTGATTGTCACTGGTTAATACATGGATGTTAGTTTGTCTCTGCTCTGGTATTTTATGATTGGTTGGTTAATGGTTCAACGAGGGTCATTAAGGCTGCATGTAACCTATTCACCAACAGTCAAAAATACTTTCATATCTAAAGTAGAAATTAAACTCAGTACATATAAACAAAGAATTATATACCTATGTATATATTCTGTGATAACTTCTGCCTGCGGGCGGCTCCCTGAGTCATTAAGCATCAGAGAGGAGGTCAAACTTTCCGGAAGATGTATATTAATTAAAAAAACAGTCACCCGTGTTTAATGCTAAAGAGAACACTAAGATGGGCCTACCAGGAAGAAAATAGTAGTCCAGCCGAAAAAAAAAAAAAAAAAAAAATGTCCGGGCATTCATATAGGTCAGTCAGTCAATTAGTAGAGAATGTAGTGATAGTCAGACTGAGGGTGGAGATGTGAGTACCACTTATACAGTGTTCAATGAGTGAGATACTTGGAAAGTCTCCTGACAGCGATACCAAGAGTACAAAAGAATGATGCAAATTGTAGAGGCAGATAAGCGACTATGAACAGCGTATGAGTGGAAAAGGAATTACCGCAGAGCAAAGTTTTAATGATATCAGATGTTTTAATAGCAATGGAAGGGTGGTTTGTGTTGTCTCTGCTTGCAGAGAAGGAATATAAGTCGCCCTCTAAAATCTAAACAGACGACCTGAGGCAGACTGTTAACAAGTTTAGGTGGAGGTCGACAACAACGTGAGCTGGGTCTCCTCCATTAACTACAACTTTCTACACAAAAAATGGGTGCCCCTGTACCTGACTCGATCATATACACAGCAACTGGCCCTACACGTCTTCCGCTTCTGTAAGAATGATGTATTATATACGAGCTCTTCCTCTTAGGGATGAATAACCTCAGGATTGGTGATCCTCTAAGCGGAGCAGGGAAAAATGTAAAACAAAAAGTTATATTAGGAATGCCTGAATTACTCCAAAAAATATTGTTTGCTTATTGCAAGCAAACATCAGCACAAAGAAATTAAAACAACTACATTATGCAAGACAAGCCACAGGTGGTGGAAATCTTTAGCTCAAGTACCTTCAGACTTCTCAGTGCGTCATCAGGAGCTGTGCTGATGACGCACTGCTAAGTTTGAAAGTACTTGAGCTAAAGATTTCCACCCCCCGTGGCTTGTCTTGCATATATATATATGTACATATATATATATATATATATATATATATATAAATATATATATATATATATATATATATATATATATATATATATATATATATATATATATATATATATATATATTATATATAAGTGAACGAGATTAATTGGTGATGCTGGTAGCGGGGAGTAAATGATACGTCTTCGGAGGCTTCTTATTTTATTTGCAAGTCGTGGTGGGTACACAGGCTTGTGTGTTGTGCCCATGGCCGGGGAGGGCCATCCCACGAGGAAGAGAGGGAGTAGGACTGTTGACTGCTCCTAGGCCGCTGAGTGAGTGAGCAAGTGCGAGTGACCTGGGCTGGCCTGGAGAGGGCAGCACCTGAGTGCCGCAAAATATGAACTAAGCTGGCAGACAGCATAGGCTGTCTGTGCAGACAGTACAGGCTGTCTACATTTGCTCGGCCACCTACCACATGGTCGTCCCGACCATGTCTGGCGGAAAAAAAAACTTGGTCTCTCTCTCGTAGGAACAGGGCACAAAACAAAATAAAAAAACACATATATACATATGGACATGGAAGAAAAAAACATATATATACATATGGAGGGAAGAAAAAAACACGTGGGGTGTGCTAAACATCGTGGTCAAAGGCAGTGAGCATCGAAGGGCATCACTGCACGCCTTCCTGCATCTGGACAGATACTGCAGCACAGGAGACATCGGTGTGGCTGAGCTGTGACGTAACGGGGTACGGTCTCCTCTAGAACGGTGAAGCAGTCATCGTAGGAGTCACTGCAGGTTTCACTCAACCTGGGGCACGACATGCTGGTGCCCTCGAGTGAGGCATCGTCAAAACTCGGCAACTGGGCAGGACTTCTGGCAAGCGACTCAAGAGGACACTTCTCGACTGGTACTGTCGCTGGGCTGTCACTGCCGGTGAGCATGGAGTGAGTCGTGGAGTGAGTCGTGGCAGAGACTACTGGGTGAAACATCTCGGAGCCATAACATCATACACCAGACTGCAGTGAGTTAGATAACAGTCAAAGGGACATCATCTTTGTGCAGGAGCTCACTGAAGCTATGACACGAGGCTGACACAGTGCCTGCTGACAGGGCTTAAACTGCGGCTTGACGAGTGTCATTCTCTCGGCAGCTGGAGTTATAGCTGAGGTTAATCTAAGTGACCCCAGACTTGTTTCTCTACATATAACTGCACTCTGAAGGTCTGGAGGTGAAATGAAACAAATCTCGATGGGAATTGTAGCAGGTACGATTCTGCAGAACATCTATGAGCGACGAGCATAAGAGCTTTCTGTACAAAGGGGCTCATATGCTCAGGGCTGACTAATATCAGCTGTCAAACGCACTGGTCACACCGGGTAACAATAACACAGTGATGCTACTCTGGGGTCTGGGCTCAAGACCACACTGGACACATGGAAAACTTTACACACACCTGCGGTACATGCGGTACAACATGGCTTAAACTAGCAAATGATGCTTTTCCGTGCACAAAATTGACACTAAGCTATACACTAACATGTGAGAACACTGACTGAGAGGAATTAATTAACACGACATGCATCTTCTCTCAGTCTTCTCGACAATACTGACATAATTACTGAAACACTTGATGTGACATCATGTGATGTCAGGCGTGATGTCGCGAGGTGACGTCAACAGCATTGTGACGTCAGCAGACATCTCGAGGTGACGTCAGACAGACATCGTGACGTCATGAAGTCGGGCAGCAGCATGGTAACTCACGTGGCTTGTAGATCCACGTAGCTTCGTCCACACCCCATGTGGCATCGGGATCCACGTGGTGTCGTGATCTATGTGGCATGCTGACCCACATGGCTTGCTGATCCACGTGGCTTGCTGATCCACGTGGCTTGCTGATCCACGTGGCTTGCTGATCCACATGGCTTGCTGATCTAAGTGGCTTCGAGTGGCCTCTGGCACTCGGATACACAGCTCTGGCAAAGAATTCACATGAAAAACAGCAGAAACACAGCAGAGGGAGTGATGGTATAGTGGTGTATGGTAGTGTGGCAGCGAGGAGCGTGGGTGAGTGTATGGCGAGGGAGGATCTGGCCACTTCCTCCTCTCAAACCCAAAACACGGCGAAATACTCATACTGGTCGCAGAAATCACCACAAAAGTCACCTCTGGCTTGCTGAAATAGCTGTGCTGAGCTGAACAACAACAGCAGAACATACAAGTGATGCTGAACACGTGACTTGAGAAACAGAGTGGGACGCTGTAGCATAGGGTCACTGGGACATCACTTACATTTCTCGAAGAAATTTGGGAAATTTCGGCCAAATCCTGCTTGTACCTGTGTCTGGATGCTGAAATGTGTGGACACGACATCAGGATAACTCATTGAGAGATGGATGCCTGGTGTGTATGGGGATGAAGTGAACAACTTCATTCCTTCTTCCTCTCTATGGACAAACACAACTTGCTGTGACCATCGCTTCCCACCAAGTGAACGAGATTAATTGGTGATGCTAGTAGCGGGGAGTAAATGATACGTCTTCAGAGGCTTCTTACATTATTTGCAAAGTCGTGGTGGGTACACAGGCTTGTGTGTTGTGCCCATGGCCGGGGAGGGCCATCTCATGAGGGAGAGAGGGAGTAGGACTGTTGACTGCTCCTAGGCCGCTGAGTGAGCAAGTGCGAGTGGGACCAGCGTCCCACTGACCTGGGCTGGCCTGGAGAGGGCAGCACCTGAGTGCCGCAAAATATGAACTAAGCTGGCAGACAGCATAGGCTGTCTGTGCAGACAGTACAGGCTGTCTATATATATATATATATATATATATATATATATATATATATATATATATATATATAATATATATGTCGTGCCGAATATGTAAAACTGGTAAATTAGCAATAACTCATTTAAAATTAAGTCCTTTCTGAAATTTTATCTTATACGTTTAAAGATATATTTTTTTCATTAATGTTGATGTAAAAATTTATAATTTTGCACCAAAAGAATCTTAGAAAACTTACCTAACCTTATTATAACAAAAACAATTTATTTTAGCCTAACCCTACTAAATATATTTTAGATT